TTTCTTTTCTTTTTTTTCTTCTTCTTTTCTTTTCTTTCCTCTTTCCTCCTTCCCGTGAGAACAGAGCAGCCACGCACCCCGTGCTACTGCCGCCGTCGGAAACGGCCAGCCGGCCGTCGGCCACCTGTCGGCGACCCCAGCAGCCACGCCTTTCCCCTCTCCTTTTTTCCTTCTTTTCTTTTTCTTTTTCTTCTTTATTTTCCTTTAATCCCCTCTTTGTTTTCACGTAGGAACACCGCTGCCACCACCTTGCTGCTGCCGCGGCTCCACCGCAGCTGTCCGCCGGCGCCGCTGCCACCTCCGGCCAGCAGCAGGCCGCCAGCCACCACCCCTTTTTGGCTTGGTTCCTCTCTTCCTCTTCCTTTTCTTAATTTTATTTATTAGTTTAGTTTTGATTTTATTAGTTTCAAAACGGTTAATTTAGTATCAAATCATGTTTTAATTGATTTAAAGATATAATTTCAGATTATTATTATAAGTATTATTTTCAGATTTGGATATAATTAAAGTAAGGGTTTCTAATTTATTAAAGATGTAATTTTTAGGGTTCTTATACTATTTGATTTGGGGCTTTTGTTTATCTATTGATTTTATTGATTAATTGGGCATAATAGTATGTTTTAACCAAGTTTTTAAGGGAGTTTTGATGAAATATGTTGCTGGAATTTTATTTAAAGTAGTAGATTTGCGATTTTATAAAAGGGTTTAATTACCCATTAAAGAAGAGTTTAATTAGGGGTTTTTAAATAATTTTCAGATTATTTTAAATAGTCTAAAGCGGATTTAAGTTGCTGGAAATTGTGTATACAAGAGCAATTGATATAGTATTATTGTCCCTTTATGTAGGAGACGTGATTCGAGAGGTGTTGTAGTGTATTTGGCCACTTTAAGGGCTTATTTGAGGTACGTTCGCGTACTTAGCATATTTTGATGATGTAGAATCATGTTAGGTTTGATTTCAATCAATTACAAGTAGTATCATGCTAAGGTTTATGTATGGAATTGTGAGTTTATGGTGTTTGTGATTGAATGGTGAAGCATGAATTATTTGTGATGGGTTATGGATTGGAAAATTGTATTTTTGGCATGTTGTGTTTGAACCACATTTTTATTTATGGCATGTTAGAAGGCATGATTAATTAAACTACATGTTTAATTATGTTTGGAATATTGAAAAGGAATTTTATTATGGTTCAAATAATTTTTATTGATGCTTTAAGCATGAGGAAGGAGCTATATAAGTGTCTAGGTACACAAGGAATAAATTGTATGTTGGTGCCTTTGTGCACTTAAGGTGTTTTTAACACCGAGGGATAGGATTTTTGGCGCATTATGCGTTTAAGGTGTCTTTGACACTGAGGTAGAATTAAAAAGGGTTCAACATTAAATAATATGTGGTCACTAATTATTCAAGAATTAAATTGGTATGTTTGTTTGATTGAATAATTATTTTTGATTGACTTATTATGCTTTGAGAGTCATCACCAAGTCTAATAATATGTAAATAACGTAAAGTAAAAGAGATTACGCACCAAAACTCTTGGAACGTATATACCTTAAGTATGAACTATGGGGGGGGGGGGTTATGGGGTTTTATATTTAACCATAACTTCCAATGGAGTACAGGACGTTGTATATTCCTTTTTATTATTTATTATGCGCAGGAATTCCGCCACCTTTGTGTGGTTTGTCGCTGGCACCGTTAGCTCCCGTGCCAGTTAACCTCAAATTTATTTGGGGGAGGTTAATAGGTGGAAACCCGTTCGATGCGTAATCAATGCAAAATGAATTAATTAGGGTCTAGTCATTTTGTTGTGTTGATTGGTGTGTTTGTGAACAGGTGCAATGAGGTAAGTGTGTGTTGATAGGTGAAAGCATGTTAGTGTGTTTAATTACGCTTATGTACTCAGCTTTGCTGATTGTGTGTGTTTGTGTGTTTGGCCATGTCTTTACTTTGGCCCTACGACGACCCATTTTCTAATGGCGAGTAGTCGGGACAAGTAGAGAGGAGGTTTTCAGGTGATGAGACATATTCATGATGGGGCACGAGTGAAGAGCGAATCATGCTAGTTTATATTAGTTACAATGTGTTTCTACTTTAATTATTTATGCTAATATTTATATGTGAAGCCAACATCAAGTTTGGATTTGGTTTGGTTTTTAATAAGGGCCTTTAATGGTTCCAAGTTGTAGGTTGATTTTCATTTTACTTCGCTCATTTTGGTTTTAACTTTACTTTCGTTTGGTTAGCTTTTCAAGTTGGTTGTTTTGGAAAGGTTTTTAAATTTAGTCTTCCGCTGTGTATCTTTGATATTTGCCTTAACCGTTTTTATGGTGGCGGTAATGTCTTAGATATTCCTATTCGAAGTTTTATACAAAGCAAAACAGGTATTTTAAAATAAAGGAATTTCTAGGGTGTTACAGAGACTATCTACCAAGTAGATGTCCTTGATGATTTAGAACGTGAGCAACTTCCCTTAATCAAGACAAACGATGCATTGGAAACGGTGTTGGCAGGAAGCACCAGTGAGGAAGATTGGGAAACAAGGGAGTACACGCGGCTACTTGAGGAAGGAAAAGCAAATCCAACCACCGCTCTAGTGAAGGAAGTTCTTAGTGTATCAAGTGTTGGGGAGAGTACTACGCCTCCCGAGGTAGAGTTAAAACCCCTTCCCTCTACTCTTAAATATGCATATCTTGGTCCTAATAATACATATCCTGTTATTGTTAATGCTGAGCTTAATGACACGAAATTGGAGCAACTGCTCACTGTTTTGAGAAAATATAAAAGTGTTATTGGGTACACCATTGATGATATTAAGGGTATTAATCCCTCATTCTGCATGCATAAGATAATTCTTGAGGACAATCATACCTCCTCCATAGAACCTCAAAGACAACTTAATCCAAACATGATGGAGGTAGTTAAAAAAGAGGTTCTTAAATTACTTGCTGCGGGAATAATTTACCCTATCTCAGATAGTAAGTGGGTTAGTCCTGTACAAGTAGTTCCAAAAAAAGGAGGTATGACCGTTGTCAAGAATGACAAGGGTGAGCCAATTGCCACTAGAACTGTTACAGGTTGGCGAATGTGTATTGATTACAGGAGGTTAAACAAGGCCACCCGGAAGGATCATTTTCCCCTTCCATTTATTGATTAGATGCTTGAACGTTTGGCTAAGCATTCCTTTTTCTTCTACTTGGACGGATACTCTGGTTTCTTTCAAATTCCCATCCGTCCATGCGATCAGGAAAAGACTACTTTCACATGTCCTTATGGCACCTTCGCCTATCGAAGAATGCCATTTGGATTATGTAATGCTCCAACCACGTTTCTACGTTGTATGATGGCAATTTTCTCAGGTCTTATTGAACATTCCATGGAAGTTTTTATGGATGACTTCTCTGTCTATGGAACATCTTTTGATGTATGTCTTGAAAATTTAGAAAAGGTGCTCCATAGATGTAAATAAGTCAATTTAATTTTGAACTGGGAAAAATGCCATTTCATGGTACAACAAGGAGTTGTTCTAGGCCATGTGGTGTCAAATAAGGGTATTGAGGTTGATAAAGCAAAGATATAGGTCATTGAGCGACTACCCCCTCCTAATTATGTAAAAGGAATTCGGAGTTTTCTTGGTTATGCAGGATTTTATAGGCGATTTATTAAAGATTTTTCGAAAATCTCTAGACCTCTAACTGAGCTTTTGGCCAAAGATGCCCTCTTGAGGCTTTTAACAGGTTGAAGGAAGCATTGATCTCCGCTCCCGTTATGCAACCCCCGGATTGGACCCTACCATTTGAAATTATGTGTGATGCTAGTGACTATGCAATAGGGGCCGTCTTGGGGCAACAGAAGGATAGAAAACTTCACGCCATTTATTACTCTAGTAAAACTCTTGATTCTGCCCAAATGAATTATGCCACAACTGAAAAAGAGATGCTAGTAGTAATTTATGCAATAGAGAAGTTCCACTCATACCTTGTTGGTTCGAAGGTGATAATTCACACAGATCATGCCGCATTGAAATATTTGATGACTAAGAGTCATGCCAAGCCGCAGTTGATTCGTTGGGTCCTTCTGCTGCAAGATTATGACATCGAGATACGGGACACAAAAGGGACTGAGAATGTCTTTGCAGACCATCTTTCTCGCCTCCTTCTCGATAAGGGGGATGGAGATGACCTCCCCATTGATGATTCTTTCCCGATGAACATTTATTAGCACTTTCTCAAATTGAATCACCTTGGTATGCTGATTTAGCTAATTTCTTGGTGTATTGCCTCACGGCTATTCGTCTCAACAAAAGAAAAAATTCTTTTACGAGGCCAAGCGACATTTTTGGGACGACCCATTCCTTTATTGGCTATGTGCAGATGCTATGATTAGACGATGCGTCCCAGAAGTTGAGGTAAGCAACATTATTTCACATTGCCATGACTTACCTTGTGGTGGACATGCAGGTCCTACAAAAACGGCCGCGAAGATTTTACAATGTGGTTTCTATTGGCCAACTCTGTTCAAGGACGTATACTCATATGTCAAGGCTTGTGATCGTTGTCAACGGACCGACAACATTTCAAGGAAGAACGAGAGGCCACTCAACAACATACTCGAGGTCGAGTTATTTGACGTGTGGGGGATAGATTTCATGGGACCATTCCCTTCTTCTAATGGAAATCGATACATTTTAGTGGCCGTTGACTATGTCTCAAAGTGGGTTGAAGCAATTGCTACTCCAACCAATGATGATCGTGTGGTAAGAAAATTTTTCAAAAAAATTATTTTCCCTCGTTTTGGTTTACCACGTGTGTTGATTAGTGACAGCGGAACACACTTCTTGGAGCATCGATTTGAAGCAATGTTGAAAAAGTATGGAGTGCAACATAGGATCGGTATTGGTTATCACCCACAGACTAGTGGTCAAGTCGAGATGTCAAACCGTGAAATCAAATCTATCTTAGAAAAAACTGTTGCAAGGACAAGAAAAGATTAGTCGATGAAAATTGATGATGCATTATGGGCGTATCGAACGGCATTCAAAACGCCAATTGGTACGACCCCATATCGATTGGTGGATGGTAAGGCTTGCCATCTTCCCGTTGAGCTAGAGCACCGAGCGTATTGGGCTATCAAGAGCCTAAATTTTGATGCTAAAGCAGCAGGTGAGAAAAGATTGCTACAACTTAACGAGTTGGATGAACTTCGGATGGAAGCTTATGAAAACTCAAAGTTGTACAAGGAGAGAACAAATAAATGGCATGATAAGCATATTTTAAGGCGAGAGTTTCGCGAAGGAGAGTTGGTCATGTTGTATAATTCTCGTTTGAAATTGTTCCCTGGGAAACTCCGATTAAGATGGTCCGGTCCATTTCAAGTACGAAAGGTTTTCCCCTATGATTCAGTTGAAATTTGGAGTGAAGCTACTGGTTCTTTTAAGGTTAATGGACAACGTCTTAAGCACTATCGAGAAGGCGAACCCGTTGAAGGAAAAGCGGTTTTTACCCTTTCCGATCCTCACTCAAATTGAATAAAAAGGTGGTCAAACTAGATGACGTTAAACTAGCGCTTTTGGGAGGGAACCCAAATTTTTTTCTATATATATAGCTTATTTATTTAGTTTTCTTTTAATCTTTTACCTAGTTGTTTTAGTATATGCTTTACTAGTATTTGCTAGAATTCTAGGATTAAGGTTTTCCTTTTATTTATTTATTTATTTTTATTTTTATTACTCCTTAGTTGTTATTATTTTTTTATAGTAGTTTTTCTTGTATTTTAGTGTCTTTGTCCTTTTGCTTTTGTTTTTTTTTTTTCTAGGATTTTCGTTTCTACAGATTAGTAGTAGTCTTAGTGCTTTTTATTTTTTTATTTTTTTTTTTCTTTGTATTATTTTGGTAAGTTAGGTAGAACCTATATATTACCATAGTGTAGTCTGTAGTATTATTGTTCTTACTTCCCTCCCCTGCAATTAAGCTCTTTTTACTTCTTTTCTTTGCTGCTAACAACTAATGTGTGATTGCAGGAGGAAGAAGCACGCATAGTGGAGGCTAAAGTGCGACATTCCAGACTACTCTGCAGCCGGGTCGCGATATACCCACCTTTGCCGCAATCATGCCGCGGTTTATCTCACTCCCGTATATTAAGAAGCAAGTCAAGCAACAATAACAGTTTACTCCGCAACCGAACCGCGGGTAACACCAAAATACCGCAATTAAGCTGCGGAGTGCACTGTTATTCACATCAGTTTTGATTTCTTTTCTCAATGTAATTCCAAAAAAAAAAAAAAAAAAAAAAAAGAGATAAATAAAAAGAAAAGGGATTAGAAGCATAATCGCAAGGCAAGAAGCAACTTACAGGGTCAGCGAATTCCTTTTAGGCGAACTCTGGTGGTTTTCTTGATCGATTTTGTGGCGAATTGAAGGTAATAATCGCAGCAAGTATATAGAATTTGATCCTCTGTTTTGACCGAATAATTTTCGACTCTTTATCCCTTGTCACTGCCGGCAATTTGGGCGGAATATTTGTGACTAAAATTGTTGTCATCATTGGATTGATTATACTGAGTTTGGTTGCCTGTAATTTTTTACTTTCTTGATTGCAATTTTGGCTTGTATATCCGTGCTTGAGGTTGTGTATTATAACTTGCTTCTTTGCGTGAGACTAAGATTTTCTAATGGCACGCACTTCAAGTGTTCGACAAAAGAACGACATTAATAACCCCACTCTTAAGGCAAGGCAGTCTCTTATAAAGAAAGGTTCATCATCCAAGCGAAATTCATCCGTCTCTAATGGCAAGAAAGCAACGTCGCCAATCACTAGAGCCAAGAACAATGAAGCCGTCAATTACTTTGACATTGATTTTAATGGGGATGTAGAGTATAAGGAGAAATATGAGCAGCTATTTTAAGCGAGGAGTCGTTGCCACACGCTATGGTGACCTTGATACTTTGACAACCTTACACATTGAGGATGATATTCGTTGGCTTTTCGATAATGTCAGGATGGGCAACCTTCTCATGACTAAGTTCCCAACATCACAGAGAGCAACCTTGGAATTCTTAAGCTCTCTAAAAGTCCAATTATTCCCAAACCCATCAAGTGGCGAGACTAAGATCACTTTTCGGCTATTCAACAATGATCATACTTGGAATTTGAATAATCTTAATTTGGCTTTTGGATTACAGGGTGGTGGCTCGAGAATGACCCCAATAAGATGGGATGTAGATGACCTTTGGCGGATCCTCACTGGTGAAGGCACATATGATTCCAAGAGGAGTTCTATTACGTCCGTCCGCCACCCTGCACTACGTTATACTCTCAATATACTCTCAAGTTGTTTTCCAATACAATTTTTGGTCGACAAGAAGGGAGTAGGGTTCGTAAGGATGAGTTATATATGCTCCATCACATGCTTCATGTTGAACCTATAGACATTGGTGCCTTCTTTATTCAACAACTGCAACACGTAGCCAATAATAACACTACTGGAGGAAAATTTGTGCAAGGAGGGTTTATCACTCACATTGCAAATTATCTAGGATACAATGAAGAACTCAAAAGAGATGGTTTTGTAGATGGGATCGATGCAGTAGAAATTCCTTCTAGTTGGTTGAAAAAGAAAGATGGCACCACCCTTTGGTGCACTCATAAAGATGAAGATGCATTTCCCCCTCCTGAGCAAATATCTTTGAAGGATATAAATAATTAGTCCTTTACTCATTCTTCACTGAGAAATCAAGCACCATTGCTTCCTGAGCCACCCGTTCCATCATCTCCTCTTGAAGGTGCTAGAGTTTCTCCAGTGTCGGTTGAACAAGCACTTACAAAATTGCAACAGAGTGTTGATCAAATCAAGGCCGAGCAAAAGGAAATCAAGGATCATTTGGCTTCTTTATCGAAGGCTTTCACTGACTTTGGTGTTTGGTTGCGGTCTCAAGGGTTTCAAAACCCTCCTCTTCCCCCTCAATGAGGGTTTGTGAGTATCTTCTCTCCTTACTTGTCTTGATACTTTACCTTTGCTATGTGGACATTGCAAGATTCAAGGGTGGGGGGAGGTTTAGTATAGATTTATTGCTTTCTAGTATAGTTTTACCGCTTTGAAAAAAAAAATACAAAAATACGTTCCAATGAATGATAAATCATGCTTCCCTGTGCCCCATACTTAAAAATTGTTTTGATTCTTGGTATATGATGATGAGTATTGTGGATAAGTTAGCCATGATTTGATATTTGATTGCTTGGATGCCTTAACATGTGTCAATTTTTCCCAACTGTTTGTGAATATATTGCTTGACTAGTTGATTTGGTGTGGAATGTGTGTTAGTTCCTGGTATGTCAATGAATTTGAGTATTGGTTTGTGACTATAAGTAGTGTTTTACGACTCATTATTATGCACATTGAGGAGGACGAAGGCGTTGTTCTCTTAGGTGGCCTTCAGACGATATTAGATACAATTGTTCCCTTCTTGCTACCCATGTTGTTGCCATGACCTTTTTGTTGATTATTAGCCACATTACAAACCGATTTTGCCCCATTGGTTACTAGTCCCAAGCTTAGCTTGGGGGAACTATTAGTGAGTGAGGTGAGAGAGTTTGTAGTGTGCTTACTATTTGCACAATTGAGTGGTGTTAAGAAGTTGTAATTGTTTTTCATGGTGGTTTATTTTTGATGATTTGAGAGTTGAATTTCTTGTGAAAAAAAATAAAGCATGATGAAAAAAAAATATGAAGTTCAAGAAAAAAAAAATGAAAAGAAAAAAAAAAGTGAACTTAAAGGAAAAAATTGTTTAATGATTCAATTGTTCTAAGTGAAGGTTGATCAGAAAAAAAAATGAGTTTCAATAAGAAAAATGAAGTTGAAGAGTTCAAGGTTTGTTTATTCACTCAAGTTCTACATTGTTATATTTTTATGAGTGTAATTGTAAGTGTTGGAAATTTTTGATATGATTGGATTTATGTTTGGTGAATTTTTGGTGGAGTTGAGTTATGTTGGAGATGATTGGTCATTATCTATTTTCGGTCTTGGTTTTGTTAGGATTTTAGCTCCCTTAAGCATTGCTTTTCTCTCACATTTTCCCAAATTTATCCTACCTCTTACCCTGACCTTACATTACAAGCTTTAAAGACTTTCTGACCTTTGTGCATAGAGTTGTGTGAATGTGAAAGTAGTTACTTATCAATGCAAGGAATGACTTGACATATTCCGAGTCGACTATTAGGTTGAGTGTATGTCTTTTTAAACACACGAGTGCGTGAGTTGGGAGGGCATTGTTCACATGATGGGGTTGGGATGGAGAGCGATCGAGTACATCTTTTACTCGCCACATAAATGAGAGTCAAGTGTGTGAGAACTAGTCTTGAATTCTATATGCTCTTGTGGTATGCTCTATTTGACAATTGTTAGGGAGGATGAGTGATTAAATGGATGAGATTGGTTGATTTTGAAGCATATTTGTTAGATTTACCTTGAATTGGTTGTTCTTGATTTTGATTATTTTTGGGGTGAAGTATTGATTTATTTATTCACTGCTTTACTCGAGGACGAGCAAAGGTTTATCTTGGGGGAATTTGATAACACGATATTATACATGATTTATATGTGATATTTGGTCATATTTTATTGTGTTTCCTTCATTTTCCTACTCTTTTAGAGCTATTATTCTTCCTATTTCGATATTGCTTTTCTCGGTTTGTTTGTCTTTGTTTTTATAGGAATAGGGATCAATTTGCGTGGAATTCAACTTGGACGCAAGATATTCTTCATATAGAGCGTTTTTAGCGTCCACGAAGCATCATGGCAGCCTAGTCTGCAGCTTGATTGCGGTTTACTATGACTTACCACAGCTTACCTGCGGCGCACTTCACAAAGGAGCAAGAATTCAAGTCGGCAGCCTACACCGCAGCAATACCGCGGCTCGCGACCTTGTACCGCAGCCCGGTTGCGGCCTCTTCATTACCAACGAATTTAGCCCTATTTTAGGGATTTTAGGAGTCCTAATCCTAAGAAAAGACTACTATTATTTTCCTAGCATATAAATAGGTTTTAGATAGTCTTTTATCTATCACTTTTTACATACATTATTTTAGAGCTTTTGGTATTACGTTCTTCCTTATTACTTTCAAGATTCAAGTTTTCACATTTAATTCCAATTGCAAGTATTGATTTCTCTTCCTTATTCTCGTTAATTTTTATTGTTATTGTTTTCTTTAATTAATTGTCTTGTTATTTCTATTATTATGTGTGAGTAGTTTCATAATCTAGGGTTAGGTTGAACCCTAATATGGATTGATGTGTTATTTGATTCCCAATTCCCAATTTAATTAATTCATAATTTCTCTTTGTTAGGGTTGGTTTTATTATCAATGATAAACTAGAAATAGTATTATTGAATGTGATTAGGTTTACAACGAAAGTTGATTCTTAATTGATTTTAGAACCCTAATTAAAAGTAAGAGCTTTTATGCATGAAAATAGCTAATTGTTCTTGCTAGGGCTTATAAGATGCCATTCTCAATGTCTTTAATATGTAT